TTTATGTAAGCATGTATGTATATATGTAAGCAAGATGTCCCTTGATCAAAATTGTAGTCACGTTTTTTGTTTCTTTTAAATGAAATGAACCCCTTAATTTCAATTTCCTTTTTTAATTCATTGTACATTCATACATACATACACACATAAAAACATACATATTGTCCCATTTTGTTGTCCTTGCATAATTTTTGTCAATACGTATGTATACATTTTTATATATTGCATATATATTTATTTTCCTCTCACATGTTTATATATATATATATGTATGATGCGTACACATGTGTACATACAATTTGGGGTTTCAAGGCTTAATTGACAATTGTTAAGGAATTTAATTACTACATGAATTTTCAATTAACCATATATATATATATATATAAGTCAACACATGCAAATACATAGTATGTACATTTCTATGTAAATACATACAATATGTTATATGATGTATGAATTCACTGAATGAGTAATGAAAAAGTTCGTGTCAAATGATTTCCATGAATGTGGGTCAGGATAGCGCAAAATACGCATACATATGTATGTATGTATTTACATACGTATTTTTATTTAGACATATGAACTTTTTGGCCAGTGTGAAGGGGAATTTACAGTCGAAGTTACGAAGACAGCTAAAATTTGTTATTTAATTTATTCGAATTTTTGGATGCTAATCTTTTAGGCTTAAAGTTTTATTGTAAAAATAATATTAATTTAATGAAATATGCTGATAAAAATTTTATCAGAAAAGGTTAAGAATTATTTAAATTTTTTAAAATTTTAAATTTTATTTTCGTTGATTGGGAATTCAACACGCTTTCGTCCGTTCTTGAATGAAAATCGATAAAATAAGCGCTGGAAAAATCACGTCTTTTTTTTGTATTTCTTTTCAATTTAGAGAAGTGACACAAGCTTTTTCAAGTTTTAAAAAAATTGCATATCTTCTTTATATTTTTGAATTACCGTAAAAGTATTTTCATTTGCTTTACAACGGCAGAAAATTCTTTGTGAGTATACACTTTATACACTCCAGATCAATAAAATAAATCCGAAGTTTTTTTATTTTTTGGTTCTCAAGCTGTCACGCCTTACGAAAGAATCAACTGCGGAAGGCGTTAAATTCAATGTGCTCTGCGGTGGTAAATATTCCAAATTAGGAGTCAACATATCCACCGTACGCCGGAAAACTGCTAAGCATCTGAAAGGATAAAGTAAAAAGTGTTACCTGTTGATCTAAACGGGGTTAGGTCGCCGAAAGGGCGACAGCCCTTGGCCGGATAAACTCCGGTACGTAAAACCGGCTGTCTTAGATTAATCAAACCGCTAAAACAACAACAACATAAAACAAATAAAGGGCCCCCACAACAGATGTTCAAAAAAAAAACGCACTGATTTTTTTTGCAGTCATATGACATGGAAGACTGAAGTAGTGAGGCTGCGATAATGCTCTGAGGCGCTATCTCCTACTATGGAACATCAGATATTAAACTAGTTTCTTCCAAAATAAATATCACGCGCTACATGACGCATCTTGAAAAGGTTTTTCGCCAATTCACCCATATTTTTGAATGTTCATCTTAAGCTTTTCGACACACCGCTCGAGTTGTTAAAAAGTTGATCACTGATCAAAATGTTCCTTTAATGGAATTTCATCCTTACTCTCACGTACTCAATATATTTGAGATTATGAGTGGTGATGGCTCTTGAGAAAGGTGTTCCGAAGGTGGACGACAATGTCAAGAAAGCCAATAAGTTTTCCTGGAGCGAACTTAGCTTAAACTATTAAAATTTACGATTCGCTTCCCCATCATGTTTTCGAAGTTATTTCCAACAAAGGTGGTCACACTCACTATTAGTTAAAACTCAAATAACATTAAAATGAAGAGCATATGCTGAACTATGAAAAAAAAATTTTTTTTTTTAATTAGTCTATTTCATTGTAAAATTAATATGCCCAAACCAAAATGAAATTTTAAAAAAACCTTCAGATATAGACTATAATATTTTTTTTTTCTTTTGATTAAGAAAATCGATTTTTGAACCGCAGAAAAATTTCGTTATTTATGTTTTCTGCATATTTTAGTTTTTATAAAACAATTTTGCAAAAAAAAACAAATAAATAAAAAAAAACCCTGAGTCTATTTCATTGATCGGGAGTGTATATGCATGCATTTATCGTACAAGAAAGTTACGTATTCGCCAGCGTATACTCAAATAGCTTCTTTAGTACAATTGAACTGAAATAATTTCCTTAACAGAAATACGTTTAAAAGTATTGGAATTTATCCAGCGGTCGCAAAAGCATAATAAATATTTTTTTTTATTTAATTTTTAATTGTAGTGGTAGTGTACCAGAATATTTAGAAAATTTCCGTATATTTCAGGCAAAGAATTCTTAATTTTTTTTTTTCACTCAAAAAAGTCAATTTTAGTATCTTTATATATTTTATTATGAATTTTACTTTCGAGAAAAAAATTTGAAGCTGGTATTTTACTCTACGGCTTAAATAGAGTATGTGTATTGTGTATGTTAGTCTAGTTTTGTTGGTGCCTTTGAGGTTTTTTGGTGTAGGAAGGAACACTAGTTACGGGCGATCATTAGTCACATCCGCCAAAGATGTTTCTTGTTATTCTTTTTAATTTAATTTAATTTTATTTTTTTGAACAATTTTTGTGAGTTTTATTATTTATTTATTTTTTTTCCTGCCTTCGGTTGATATTTTTGGTTGAGCTGGTTGTTGGTGTTTGTATTCTTTTTTTTTTTTGGTGGATTACTACATAAGTTTGTTTATTTCATTATTTTGTGTGTGTGTGTGTTCTTTTTATTTTTATTTTTATTTTCGAATACTTCTTTTCCCAGTGCACGGTAACACTAGTTTATGGCTGGTTTTGTATATTTTTTCTCTTATTTATTTTTTAGTTATTATTATTTTCTCTCACAAATTTTATTTTCTCATACACAGATCATTGGTTTTTTATTTTTATTTTTATATTATTGTTATATGCATATTTCTTTTTTTACTTATTTTTTACTGCACATACATTTTCGTTTTTGTTTATTTTTTTTTTATAAACCCCACATAAATATATACTTTATATCTTTTGCATTTATTGTTTGTCGCTTTCATGCCATATGCCTGAAATTTTGAAATAATCTACATGGCTTTAATCGCTACATACAAACATTATTTTTAGTTTTTGTTTTTGTTTTTATTTTTGTTATATACCTACTACGCAAATTTGGCAATTGGTTTTACAGTTAATTTTACAATTAAACGGTGAACATTGCCAGCATGCTGCACGTGGTTTGCCTAATTTCACTATATTTTTCACTAAAAATGCTTGATTTTCCTTAAATCTATAAATTTTAATTATCTTTTAATTTGTTGTTTTTTGTTTTGTAATAATTTCTCGTTACGTAAAAACAGTAAAAAATCGAAAAATCATTTAAAAAATCTATAATCAATTCGGCATTTCAAAAAACTTTGCATTGTCAATTAAACGTTTCGCATTTGTTTGCTTATTTGGTGGCGTTTCCTTGTGTACAACGATTCCTTGTTTTATGTTTGTTACTCTACTTTTTGCATTTTATTTTTTGTTTTTTTTTTCTGCAAATATTTAGTTCAATACAATTACCTACAATTTTTTAATATCTTTCAAAATTATCTGGCAGATCAATGTGAATTTTCTTGTAATAGTTTTTTTTTCTTAGCTTTCGTTACATTAAAAGTAATAATGGTTTTGGTGACCTAAACATTTTTCTGTGTGTTTTTGTGATTTTGTTTTTTTCACTTTATTTTCGTATTATTAGTTTTTTATTTTATAATTTTTTTTATTTTTTATTTTTTTTTTTTATTTTATTATGTTGTGTTTTTATATTTTTTGTAGCCTAAAAGTATGCCTCATAATATTCTTTGGGCATAATCAATTTAATTTTTGTCCTCAAAACATTATAGTTTTTTTTTTAAATTTTTTTTAGTTTTGCGTTGCTTATTATGTTTCACACATACATACGTACATAAACACATAAAAATAAACACTTTCTACTTGCTGAAAATGCTACATTTCTTCATATACAATTTACTACTTTTTTAATATTTCTTTTTTTTTTTAATTTTTTGTTACATTTTTTGGTTCGCGCTAATTTTGTCTTTCTTATATTTTTTTGGTTTATTTTTTGCTTGCATACTTTTTTGTATGCGCTATGATTGGTTAAATTTCAACTACAGCTAATGACGACGTCGTCTGTTGTGTGTTGGTGTGTGTGTGTGTGTAAACATCCCTACAATACATATACACATAGGTAAGTAATACTAATTCCCAGCTTCACGTCCCTTAGGTGCACCCGGCGCCTAAATGAGGGTCAGTGTTTTTGTTGTTGTTGTTGTTTTGTTTATTTTTTACTATTTCCCTGCTGCCCATTTCGGCGTCTTACATACATACAATAAAAAAGAAAAATTTGGCAACTTTTGAAATCCATTGTAGTACTCTTATTTGTTTTTGTTCTTTGGCTAGTAGTAAATATTTGTTTTTTTTTTGTTGTTGCTGTTTTTTTTGTTTCTTTACTTAATTATATCCCATTTTGCCATATCCCACTTGCTTCTCTCAGGTTGGTTCGTTTAAACGAAGGCGTGTTGTTGCCTATAAAATGCAAAAAATCTAAATTGTCACGCAGTTGAGAACTCAACTGAAAATTCGTTCTCGTTTTACCCGTAATATTAGTTAACATTTACAATACATAATTCAATATTTCTACATTTTATAATAATTTTCAACTTTTTTTTTTAATTTATTTTTTTTTTTGGCTTGTTTTTTTTTTTCTTATGCAGTTCGGCTCGTTCGTTCGTTCGTTCATAACTCGGGTGCATCGAAAATGTGAAAATTCATACCAAATTACACTATTTATTAGGGAAAGTGAGTCCTCTTTTACGTTTGCTTGAGCTTTTACGCATATTCATTAAATATACTTTTATTTTTATTCTTTTTCTTTTAGTTTTTAGTTTTTTTTTTTCAATTTTACTTTTATTCATTAACTTATAAGCGTTCAAGTGCCTGTGCACTCGTTTCTAGGGTGGGGTGGTTATAATTGTTTCAGTTAATTGTTTTTGTTTTTTTTTTTCTTTTTCTGTTTTTCTGTTTTCATGTTTCTTTCTCACTGATACTTTATCAATTTTCTGATCTTTCTATGCTGCACCTGTTATTGCTTTGTGTGGGCTTACCGCCTTTGCGTGCTTTGATGGCTTAAAATATGAAATCTCCACAATCCATTGCGTAGTCAAAGTCTTCACCGCCAAGATCTTCTACGCCGGTCGAATGAAAATCGAATCCGCCGATATCGGTGTGATAGACGGCGCCACTGCATGACGTGTCCACAAGATTGGTGCAGTGCGTGGTGGGCAGTGCGTGTAGGGTAAAAGTGTCCTCACACTGCGACCAAGTGAGACCTGTGAAAGAGAGTAGTGAGAGGGAGAGTGAGAGAGCGAAGTAGTTAGTGAGAGATATAGACATATATTCCTAAGTTATTTCATCAAATAAAAGAAAATATTTAGAGACATTGCGAGCTGCCATTTAGAAAGCTCGGATTCAAATCCTGGTGTCGTACTAACATCCAAAAATTTATAGAAAATTAATTTAATAAAAAAATTAAGCTAAATTTTCCAAACGCGATACGTCTACCCCTCCGAGTGTACTTCTGACAGGAAATAAAGGCTCCTCATAAGAGAACGTCAGCTGTTCGGAGGCGGCTTAGTATAAACTGTAGGTCCCTCCATTTGTTGGAAAAATATCAAGAAAAACATGAAACAACATCGGCAGAAAATCGCTTCAGCGGTTACATATATATCCATATTATTATCTCGAGATAGTAGAAGGACAAGGGGAAGAAAGATGGAACGAACTTAGAGCAGGTTATGGTATTACACCAATTTTGATTTATTTTATAAGTTCTCCCAACTTCTTCAGAGCTGAAGACTGTCAGGAGACGCCAGTTTTTGGCTGACCCCGATTGTTTCTAAGGCACTGTGGAAAATTTCCCCAGTCAGTGGTTCGTCTATAAAAGATTTGATGCTCGATTATTATCTGATTTATAAGTAGAGATACTCGTATGGGACCCTCAATTGAGCACAATCTTCACTCAAAAAATTCTGATGGATTTTCGAGTGTTCACTGGATCAGAAGATCATAAGATGCTAAAAATTCACGCATCAATACCATTTTCGGTGTTGGTACTAACAATCGCCCTGCTAAGTCTGTAGTTCAAACAACCTTGTATCCGTTTCAGCCCCTGTTTGTTCTGTAAATAATGAGCATTGAAGACATTATTCTGTTGTGCTGCAGATTATCGAAGAAGACCTGAAATGAGTCCTTGGTTTGTAAGATGGCTACAGATATCGATTTTCAAAAAAAAAAAAATCTGTACAGCGATGAAGCTTTATTTCGGTTGAATGGGTACATTCTCTAGCAATTGTTGAGATGCCATAACATCCACAAAAAAGTCACTGTTTGGTGTGCTCCATGGGCAGAGGGAGTCACTTGCGCAAATATCTTCAAAAATGGCGCCGGATATAATATTACAGTCAACGAGAAGCGATGAAGAATGACTTTTTCGTGCCTAAATTGGAGGAAGGACGACCTTTGGCCTCCAAAAGATGGCGCTAATTGCCATGCAGCCAATGAAGCAATAAATTAATTGAAGGAAGTTTTTGATGAGCGGATTATCTCGCATCGCTTTACCATAAATTGGGATCTCTCCGACAGTAATGTTATCTGTGCTCTCCGTTGTGAATCTAATACTCAGCAAAGTTTAGTTATGCCGTTAAGTATCACCTCCAAAGAACTCAATCACATTTTTTGAACATGACTGCTGCTGGCCTGTTGTCTGAATAAGCTCTATCTATTTGTATAAGCTCTCGGGATTGAGTTAAAGACTTATTAAAGTCTACACTGCTACTGGAAATGAGTTACACACATAGTATATTTCATAATGGGTATTAGTTCTGGTCATACCAAATCTAATTATTTTTTTTAATTTTAGTTTTTATTTTTTGAAAACTTACCGCCACTCCACACACCATTCGGCAAAGTGGCCCAGCCCCAACCGTGTCCCCAAGGTAGCGCACAGGCCAATGCTGGCTTCAAATCGGGCTTTTTACTCAATATAGCAACGGCAGCGTCACTCTTTACCAGCGGATCCTGTACATAGAACGCACGATGATGGGCTAAAGTCGGATATGTGCTGCTACTTCTGTGCGCCGAAGACTTGCGTTGTTTAACCTCCGAAGTAGTGGCCGCTATGACGAAAAAAAAAAACAAAAAATATGAAAAAAATTAAATCAATAAATCAATTTGTAATAATTTAATAAATAATATATATAAAATAATTTGAAACTTACGCCGAATGCGAACTAAAGGTCGACGTAAGACATTCATAAGATGCGGCTTGTCAACAACAAGTTCGATTTGTGGTGGTGGAGGCAGCTGTAAGAGAAAGGTTGAGAAAGGAAATGTGTTAGTAAAAACAATTAATTTCTCTGTATAAACATCAAAATTCTGACTCACCGTCTTAGTGATGGCGTCAACCCACTCACTGTACATGAAATACAAATAGTAATAAATGAATGAAATTTTCGAAATTCGGTTAGTCTTCAATAAATCCCAATAATTTACCTAACTTCCTGCTCCGATTTGGCCAACATCCAATAGACTTTGGAACGTTTTCTTCTCGAGCCCAACGCTATCAGCTGTGACACACTACAACCCTCGGGCAGTGGTGGACGTCGTGGTATTTGCCCAGTCCAATGTGCAATGGCTAACATTTCGGGTGCTTCTTTAACTAGAATTTTACCAGCCGGCGATGATCTGCCCGGTTCCTGTGGGTAAGAACAAAGAACAAATAAATTTTGCTTAAAAAGGTATTAAGTCCAAAAAGTGTAATATGAAGCACAACTTAGTTGGTTGTTTGGTTGACTGAAAGCGGAGGCTGACGATCTCTCTGGCCATAGAGTAGGTAAGCGGAGCTTGTCATTGTGCTCCCGCGCATAACTTAGCAATACTTTGGCAAAAATTCGCTTGATTTAATCATATGTGGCCACCTTTGTAAGGTTAGATCTGAGAGCGTCTTGGAAGATGTGATGTCACAATCGGCTGAAGGTCGGAAACTTTCAAAGATAGTGCTACAGAGTTTCGTCACCTTCTGTGCATAGTCTGCACTCAGCCGATTTCAATTTACCTAGCATGTGGAGATGATAACTCAGGGGTAGATGCACCGTCAATGCACTGTGAAAGTGCCCACAAGAATCCTAACTTGAAAGCTAGAAACAATTTGGTATATCTGCAATCCACACTGCCCCACTGTCTTACGGCGTGTGTGTTCCAGGACCTTCCATGATCCGCTACTGTAGACAACAGTTGAGGTTGTCGATGGTGCAAACATCGCCAGCGCGATCCAGCTCCTCTGTCTTCCTATTTCCTTGACCTGGTTAATCTTTCTACTAATCCGGTCGTTCATTTGTGCAATGCCTAAATCTCTGATTGAAAGACAAAGTAGTAGACGTGGACAAGATTTCGGTAAGAATCCCATTGAAAATCAGACAATAAAAACTGTTTCCGACCAGACTCGATTTTCTCAAAATGATCGTTATAAATAGGATTCCACACTACAAAATTTGTATCACCAATGACGTGATAAGTATTCTCGTAATATAAGAATATTAAATAGCTTTCTTTGTAGTGGTATTAAATTGAAGATTGAAATTAAGTTTAATATAACCAGATGCTTTTTTGATGGAGTTGCGACCGTAGACGCAGGCGGACAGACAGACATGGCTAAATCAACTCAGCTCATCACTCTGACCCGACCGGTATAAATTTTTACGGGTTTATCTCTTCTACTTCTGGTATAATACTTGCGTCGGTATAAAGTTAATATACCATTTAATATACAATACATGAAAGGTATAAAAACGAATGAGGTCAGAAAAGGATTTTTCAAAAGATTTCGAGCAGTGCAAGCAAGATTTTCAATTTTCTTTTTTTTTTTGTTCAATGTTTCTCCAGAACTCGAACTGCTCGAAAAATGTTAAAAAATAAAATCATGAGCTTTATTAGATCTCTCCATGAAGAACTTGGCGTAGAAAACTATCAATGGAGCATAGCGAAAGGGTCTCGTAGCGAACGAGGGCAAGACAAAATATCTCTTGCTATCCAACACACAGTAATCACAAACGCCTTTCAGCCAACACATCTTCTTCCTCTTTTTCTTCTTTTTTTATAGCGCGTCATTCATCTCTTCTTTTCGCTGTTTGGCGTCAGTTGGATATACCAAGTGAAGCCAGGTCACGCTCCACCTGTTCCTTCCATCGGAGTGGAGGTCTTTCTCATCCTCTGCTTCTATCAGCGGGTAGCTGGAGTGCTTTCACATTCAGACGACATGACCTAGCCATCATAGCCGCTGTCTCTTCATTCGTTGAACTATGTCAATATCCTCGTATAGCTCATAGTTTCATCGTCTGCGGTATTCGCCGTTGCCAATGCGGAAATGACCATAAATCGTTCGCAAAACTCTTCTTTGGAAGACTCCCAAAGCCGACTAATTAGCTGTTGACATTTTCTACCCCTCTGCGCCATGTAGTAGTACGGGTATGACGAGCGACCTGTAGAGTTTGTTCTTCGTTCGCCAAGAGAGGATTTTACTTTTCAATTGCCTACTCAGTGCAAACTAGTACCTGTTGGCAAGAGTGATTCTGCGTTGGATTTCAAGGCTGACATTATGATTGGTGTTGATGCTAGTTCCCAGATAGACGAAATTATCTACGACCTCGAAGTTATAACTGTCAACATAGACGTGGCAGCCGAGTCGCAAGTGCGATGACTGTTTGTTTGAAGATAGGAGATATTTTGTCTTGCTCTCGTTCACTACTAGATCCATTCGCTTCGCTTTTGTATCAAGCCTGGAGAAAGGAGAACATACGGCGCGGTTGTTGAGGCCAGCATCAAATTAAAGATGTCACATGATAAAGAGTCACCTTGCCTGAAACCTCGACTTGGAGGCGTCCTTCCCAATTCTGACTGCGCTTCTGACACGGTACGGACAGTAACAGTATTGAAGTCGTCGATAATTTCGTCCATCTTGAAACCAGTATTAACACCAACAACAATGTCAGCCTAAAAATTCAACGCTGAGTCACTCTTGGCTTGGAGCGCTGCTATATGGAGCGGAGGCTTGGTTGATTACAAACACTGATGAGTCGGCGTTAGGAGTTTTCGAGAAAAAGGTTTTGCGGAAGATGTGTGGTCCCTGGCGCCTTGGTAGCAGTGGTAGCAGACGATGAGCTGTAGGGGGTAGGAACGCTGCCTTAGTCCTGCTGTACGGATGGGGAAAATACTCCAGCCAGACAAGTATTCGATATAGTACTAGCCGGTGGAAACCGAAAGAGAACTGCTTTAAAAAGATCAGATAGAAAAGGATTGGTACCTTCAAGTGGAACCAAAATACCTAAGATAGTAAACAGGAAGAAGTAACTGTTTTTGAACACCATGGTCCAAAAGAAGGTACTGCTCTTAACTTTCTGATGAAAACCGCTACTTTGTCACTCTCTAGAAAATATGAGTTAAAAAATCAACTGCCTATTTAAGAATGAGCTAAAAGTTCTGCGAATCTGATTGAACTAAAATAAAGGCGATCAGCTCGTTATCGAAGCTATCGCCTACCAATATTCTCCCCAGCGAGTTTCATTTAACAAATATCCTGATATTCCCCAGTTTTTCCTACTCGTTGTTTATCTCTATGAAACTGCTGTGTTCGAGAGAAATCTCAGATCTGTTTTGCTCTGAAGTTACGCGCAGGAAGCTAAACTTTCTTTCAGCCCCGCCGTGAATCCAAACGCCCCACAGCTCATAAGGACAACCAAGCATTAGGAACAGCATGCGTTCCCAAGTCGTAGATTTTAAATATTCAATATCTTTCCAGAGTATGAAGCAGGTAAGTTATTTAAAAAAATATTTTCAAACTTACCGTAAACCAAGCCATTGTCGAGTCGTCGTATAACACCACCCATTCCTCGGCCCAACGATTCCATAGCAATTGTTCTGAAATAAATTATATAAAATTTAAGTTAGAAAATTAAATTAAAATCTCGAACTGAGAAAAACAAATTCATAGACTCTTGTCATTGACTCCCTAACGCTGAAGGTCAACCACTTTTACTGCTGTGCCAAATGAAAAACGCGGCATAAATGTAATTATTACTGGCTTCTTAAGTATCTCGCATGCTGAAGATATTGTTCACATACATACAAACATATATAAATATACATAAGTACATTTACCTAACATATCCACTAGCAGGCTTCCACCCTCAACCCAGCCTACTCTGCTGTAGCATTTGAAAGCTTTGTGGCTACCGCAACACCAAGGCGCGCAGAGAAAGTCGTCAAATTATGAAACCGTATAAGTGGGCACTTCATACATATATATATATATGTAGTACACACATTAGCACGCACTCGTGCATGTGCCCGCGTGTGTTCATATGTAAATTCGTTAGTGTATCAAACGCCTTTTTTGCGGCATTAAGATTCTTGAAAATTTAAATGCGCTTACAAATGTAATCTGCACCATCATCATCGCCATCAGCAACAGCAACAGCAACATTAAGAGTGGTAACCAGCCAGCAGTCAGAATAGTCACAGCAGCAACAGCAGCAGCAGCAGCAAAAACAATCATGCCAATGCCATCATCATAAACGATAGCAACATCGACATGCAGCACCAACAACACGCCAGTCAGCCAACCAGCCAACCAGCCAACCTCAACCTCAACCACGCAATCAAAAATTCGCACTTTACTACATTTGTACATATAAACATCTGTACATACGAGTATATACTTGTACTTATTGCTGCTTAGTGGCACAAGCTGACGGCTACAAGAGGCTCCTTCATTCACCAAAGCGCACACACAGCCTCAACAATCGTGTGCTTTCGGTGGAAGAGGAGCAAAGGGTGATGCTAATGCTGATGCTAACGCTGTGGCTGATGTCGGACGGGTGTAGTGAAAACAAGTGTATGGCCAAATGTTGGTTGTACGCGTAGCCCTACCCCATGGGGCGGCCACTTAGTGAGCGCGTTGAAAATTCATGCCATTCATTGTCTGTGCGCGTCGGAAGGAAGGAATTGCTGCGTCATGTCAATGTGTATTGCACTTATGCTGATTTAGCAAATTGTCGCAAAATCCTGCAGAATTGTGTATGACACATACATATGTACATGGGAAAAAAAATTATTATAAAAAAACTAAAATAAAAAAATTGGGGGAAAAGTTAAAAAAATATCGGTACACACATAAATGCACATACGAGGGGCGGCTGATAATCTAAAGACCGAACGTCGATAGAGAAGACACATCGTCTCGTTACTGATTATACCAGTTGAGGGACTCATTATTAGTATAAATAAGACAACTTTGTTTTATTGGGTTCATTAACATTTCGTTCATGACCATGGAGAAGTTCGAATAGCAATCGCCCGCTCAAAAAACAACAAAGTGGTGGGAGCTGACGAGCTATCGGCAGAACTATGCAACCTTGGCGGTGAAGAGCTGACATGCAGATGCATACATCAGCTAATTTGCAGAATATAGTCGATCGAAAGTATGCCCGATAATTGGATTTAAGTGTGCTCTTCCTAATCCATTAAAAAAGGGACCCTACAGTCTGTGCCAATTATCATGGGTTACTCCTCCTTAATATCGCCTATTAGGTCCTGTCGAGCGCCTTGGGTGAAAGACTGAAGCACACCGTCAATAAACTGATTGGACCTTGTCATTGTGGCTTCAGAGCTGGTAAGTCAACCATTGTCCAGATATTCACCATGCGCCGAATAGCTTCGTCGATTTCAAAACCGCCTTTGAATGCACGAGCTACCTTTACGCCGCTATGACTGAATTTGGCATTTCCTTGCAACTTATACGGCTATATAAACTGACCTTGAGCTCCGTCAGGATCGGTAAGGAACTCTCCGAGCTGTTCTATACCAAACGAGGTTTTAGATCACCTAGACTCTTTATTGTGTTATTTCTTTAATTTAATGCTGGAGAAAATGATACGAGCTGCAGAGCCTAATAGGCATACCTTGCCAATCTTCTATAAGAGTGTTTAACTACTGACATACGCCATTGATATTGTCATTATTGGCCTCAACAACCTCGCCATGAGTTCTGCTTTCTCCAGACTGAAGAAGGAAGCAAAGGTGGGTCTGGTAGTGAGTGGAAATTGAAAGTAAAATTCTCTCCTGACGAACGAAAACCAAACTCTACAGGTTCCTCATCGTTCCACTGATGGTGGAAAAATAGGTGCGACTCTTACAACAAGGAAAAGAGACCTGTGAAGATGGCCTCACCTGGGGCACCCATTGTTGAGAAAGTCGAATTAATTGTGGCAAATAGCAGAAGGATTACAACTTAGCAAAGAATGAGCTAGAGATATTTTCAGGAACATCTGAATAGTGTGCTTTGGATACCGCGAACGCTCACGCCCCTCGAGAAGCAGCGACAATTGCAGAGTTGCTAAATTTTTTTGGTCTTTTGCCAAGATGATTTGGTTGAAATTTGCAACCGCATTGTAACAGTTAATGAAACTTGGGCTCCTCAGTATGATCCCGAGTCCAAAACAGGTGTCCAAAAAAATTCCAAGTGGAAAAGTCGGCGTCGAAGATTATGGCCAACATTATCTGGGATAGCGAAAAAATATTAATAATTGATTACTTGCCAAAGCGAACTATAATGAACGGCCGGTATTACGCTAATTTGTTGAGTCAGACGCGTCAGGCAGACGCCCAGAAGAGACGGGGTAAGTTAGCGCGCGGAGGGTTGTTTCTTCTAGACAACGCACCCATTCACACCGCTCAGGTTGCGAGGGATACATTAAAAGCCACTTGATTTTCAGAAATTGGCCATCCAACCTACAGTTCGAACTTGGTTCCTAGTGACATATTTCTTTTTTTTTTTTCAAATTTAAAAAATGAGTTATGGTGACGAAGATTTTCAGACGACTATGATATAAAAGCGTAGAAAACCATTTTGAAGCACAATCCAAAGAATATTTTTGTCAGTGGCATAAAGACATTGTATTCACGATGTGATTTTATTTAAAAATAAAAAACATAAAACTGTACATTTGTTTCATTTGGGTTTCTTCGTTGACATCAGCATCAGGCGCAGCTATGTAAAGGACTAAATCCTCTACACGACATATTAATGGATGTATGTATGTACGTATAGTCGAGTGGCTAGCATTTTTTGTAAAAGTCTTTGAGACGCATACTACAAATTGGACCCCTCCAATAGCTAAGCCTCCCACATATTCTCAGTAATTTAGTTGAGCATTAGACCATGAATCGTTCATTCCAACATTCTTTGGTTTGCTAAAGTGTTTAGCTGTCATTTCTTCTTCTGTCTTCTTTCGTCTTTTTTTTTTTACTTGCCCACTAAGTGTATGCCTTGGTTACCCCAAATGACTTAGACACTTTCGTGTTTTGTGCACTAAAAGTATTTTCCCAATTTCTTATTGTCAATATACGACGACTCTGCATCTGTTGGCCAACTAGAGATTTGCGTATTTTTGTCATTGTGCAATCAAGTATGTATTTTAAATTTCATTTATTTCATTTCGGACTCGATTGCTGATATTGACTATTCTTTGGTTGCCGTTATTTATTTAAATGTGTAGATAAAAGAAATGCCTATTCATTCACTAAGGACTCCACCTTTGAGTTACTCACTTTTGTATCGCAACAAGTATCCTCCTTTGATTTGTTTCCCAACAGTGCCTGCAATTAAAGAAGAAGAAAGGAAAATCATTATTTAAGTATGTACGTACATATAGATATACATATAGTTTTTGAAAACATGCTGAAATCTTTATACCATTCATGATCATATTAAATTTACGGTATTTCATTTTAGATGTAAATATTAATTCTCACAGCTGAAAAAATTATTGTATGGGGGATATATGTATGATGAGATTTTCCGAATTCAGTGATATTGTTTTAGGACAGACTTTTTACCCCAAAGCTCATACTGAGAAAAACGGTTGTATGTGAATGGTATAGTTGGATCGATGATTTTCATGTCTAAAATATAGGATGAGTGCATAAGTTCCTGCCCGATTCCGCTGGATGCCGTTCGAATCGTTTGAGAGTGGCGCTCGTGAAAGAAATATATACATATTGTATATCGTTGGAAAGGTGACAGTCCGAACTGTAAATCAAGCATAAAATAACTTCGTTTTGATTTGAGTTGCTTAGTGAAAAGACGCATGGAAGATGGACAACGAAAAAGATCATATGCGTCATATTATGTTATTCCGCAAAAGAAAAACAGTAGGCGCTGCAACTAAAGATATTCGCGAAGTTTATTTGGACCGTGCTCCAGCACTCCGCACAGTAAAGAAATGGTTCGCGAAATTTCGTTCTGGAGATTTTAACCTCGAAGATCAACCTCGCAGTGGACGGCCTTCTGAGCTTGATGACGATGTTCTAAGGACTTTAGTTGCGAATAACTCACGTATTTCGACGGAAGAGGTTGCCAGTGAATTGAACGTCAACAAATCAACTGCGTTTCGTCGTTTAAAAAAGGTTGGGTACACTTTGAAGCTCGATACATGGGTGCCACATCAGTTGAGTGAAAAAAACAAAGTGGACCGTATGTCAACAGCAATTTCTTTGCTTCGACGGATCAAAAACGAACCTTTTTTGGATCGGCTCGTGACTGGTGATGAAAAATGGATCCTGTACAACAATGTTCAACGCAAAAGAACATGGAAACAGGCACACGAAGGGGCGGAACCGATGTCGAAAGGTGGATTGCATCCGATGAAGGTACTGCTGTGCATTTGGTGGGATATCCGAGGCGTGATCTATTTTGAGCTCTTGCCAGCTGGAGAAACGATCACTGCCAACAAGTATTGTCAGCAATTGGTCGAATTGAAGAAAGCAATTGATGAAAAACGTCCGATTTTGGCCAATCGCAAAGGAGTTCTTTTCCATCATGACAACGCCAGGCCACATGTTGCAAAACCGACCCTGGCCAAACTGAAGGAGATGAATTGGGAAATCATGCCGCATCCCCCATATTCACCCGACATTGCACCTTCTGATTATCATTTGTTTCGATCGCTGCAGAACAATTTGAATGGAAAAAAATTTAAAAATGTGGAAGACGTCAAAAACCACCTTGACACCTTTTTCAACGAGAAACCGCGCGATTTCTATGAATCAGGCATCCGTAAATTGGTTGAACGTTGGGAGTGGATTGCCGAATATGATGGAGAATACATAATTGATTAATAAAAGCGCTTTCTTCAAAAAATTTCAATTTTAGTTTGCACTTGAAATCGGGCAGGAACTTATGCACTCATCCAATACCAAATATCACATTAGTGTAAGTTTTTGCGGATTTTTTACCTAGAAACACCCATCAGGGTAAATCGGTTGTATGGGAGCTAGGTGTTACAGGCGACTGATGGCTAGCCAAACTCAACTCGTCATTCTGTTGATATCGGTATAGATTTTTATGTTGATATCTTCTTTCCTTCTGATACCTACAAACTTTAGAACAAAATGAATGAATGTGCAGGAAAGATATACAACAAAAAAAAAGAGCTTGAATAGTTGGCCGACAAAGCTAATGAAAAGATGCGACTACTTACAGAACAAAATCGTAGCCCATTCCTGTTGGAACGAGAAATCACGAGATTACCGATATTCAGAGCATTGCAAACTTTAGAGCTTTAATTCCTCGATTGTAACGAAGAATAATGAACCGACAAGAAACGATGAATCGCCCGCTGAGCTTTTTATATACGGTGGCAAAGAACGAATGAGGTGCCTGCCTCAGCTTATTTGCGAAATATGTTCAGACAAAAGCATGCCTGACGATCAGAACTTGAAAGTGTTCTACCCATTTCAACCGAAGGGGGCTACACAGTTTGCGAAACTATGCGTAAACGATACCAGCTTGAATGATGGCAACGGCTGTCGGCGCTAAACATTTTCCAGAGAAGAATTTGGTAATGTTGTTAACTCGCCTGGCGGTGTCCGCGCCAATAAAGAAAAGACAGATGTATGAAGCACAGCTAACAGCCAGCCGCCAAAGTTTTCTATAAAATTGAGACCAGTCTGCAATTGCGAATGGCATGAAAGCATTCAAAAAATTATATCAACGGAAAACTTGTGCTGAGAAATCCTCCCACTCCCAGGCCCATCGAAAACAGTGAAGATATCCACATCCGTATTGATAGGTCTAAATGCGAGACAGGTACAGGGACAGGGTTCTTATATCAAGGTTATCGTTCGGCAATTTGACTTTCCTGCGGCACAAATGTTTTTTCATCGCTAAAGCATCAGCAAATGAAGCGAAAATGGCAAATAAAATCATAATAATTAATATAGATCCTCAAGCGGGCTAAAACAAAATTCAATTCAAAGGGAAATAAGACGAAGCGCTTCAGATCTTTATTTACAACTGATGCAGAGGATGTGCGGAAACGGTCCGAATAGAGGCTTCCAAAGTCCATAGAAATTTGATACTCCATAAACTTGATATTATTTAAACCTTTCGGACGACAGTACCTAGCCACGTATGACTCCTACAGCTCATCGTTCCACCGTCTACGCTATTCGCTGTTGCCTGCCAATTCGCAAAGGGCCACAAAACTTCCGTAAAACTTGTCTTTCGAAGACTCCCAAAGTCGACTCATCGGTTATAGACATTATCGACGCTCCTACAACAAACAGCTGGACGAGAATGATGAGGTTAATTTTTAGTTCGTAAAGAGAGGATTTTACTCACTCGAAATTTGCTTTCAAATTTGATTTCAAAGCTGAAATTATTATTGGTGTTAATTCTGGTCTCTAGAAGGACGAATTTATGTACGACCTCGAAGCTATGTCTGTAAACAGTGACATGGAAGCCAAGATCCAATTGAACCGACAGTTTAATTAGTGATTTCTTTTCGCTTCTTTGTCTAATCTGGAGAAAGCAGAACTAACGGTGCGGTTGTTAAGGCTTATGATATCAATATCTATTTAGTTCTGCAGCTATTCATTGGAGTTGATTTTTTTTTTATTGGAAAAAGTATAATTCTCTGAACAGCGGCACCACAAATCTCAAGTTGAGTAGCTCCAATCTACATTCAGATTTTTTTCCTTTTTTTTTTTTTTTTTTTTTTGTTAAGCACGTGCAATTACTTTCTTCAACTAAAAGCACCCAGAGGCTATACACATTCATGCATACATGCGTACAGTGAAATTTTCATTTTTCCCCAAAGCATCGTGTGACTTTCACCATGGAAAATCTCATTTCACTGAATTATTGCCATGAAAAGTAATTATTGTTGTTATTGTTGGGCAAATACGTGTATTGAAGCGGTACCAGGCAGCAACCAATTTCGATTCAATTAATATGCGCCCACATAATAATCACATATCCTTGTAAATGTATCAATTTTAAAGGCAGGAACACTGCCGTGCTAACGAATTGCGGCTGCGTTCGGATTCCTTTCAACCGTTTCAATCAACCGTATACCGTTACACTTCGTCAGCTCTGGCCGCAAAACACTCAATGCCAACACAGCACCGCACAGCACATTGTACAACCATGCACTTTAACGTATTGTACATATGTATGTACCTATCTATGTATGAGGATATGCATCTATTCAGTGATAGCTATATTGCAGCGTCGGCAGGACCAAGAGCTAAAAAGCTGAGAAGAGTGTCAGAGAATGCCTGGCGATGCCATGGGGTAGGAAGAGTCTTGAGTGCATGGAAGATGTTGGCTTATCCTTCGCAGTTACGCTTCACTGGCATCACCCAATATCATTTATGGTAAAATTTATCTACCAATAATTGCATCCTCTTGATCCGCAATAATTTTACACAAACAAGCGCACGCATACACATTCAAATATATCTGTAGGTATGTATGCATGTGTGCATGCATATGTATAGTTTTTCATAATGTACACCTACACGTTCCACCTCTAACCCCCGCCGTCGTCTTCAGTCCGTCCAGCAGCTTCCTTCATGCAGTGCGTGCGTCTGTGCATTTCAATGTCTGCCACTATGTCTTTGCTCATCCTTACGCCTCATAAAATAGATATGTCTGTGCACATTGCAATTGATATCAACCAAGCACTAGTTGTATAACGTACAGCGGTACGCAGGGGCGGACGGAAAATGTCGCTTTCTACCAAACGTTTTGCACATCACTGCACTCACTTTCGACAATGACCCTCCAACCGTCCGACCTTTCGTCCTTTTGCTCAATCGTCCAACATCCAGGCAACATTGCATTACGTCCTCCCCTCAACGGCTCTTTCATTTGTCTGTAATGCAGCCATTACGTTGTCTGGCATCATAAAAGTCACCCGTGGCTCATACCAGAGTTAACTTACACGACACTAACCAGCAAAGTAAAGAATATAGCCGAGCACGGCAAAGCTACATAAGTAGACACAACCCGACACGACCCAAACCGACGCGATTTGACCCGACCCGACTCGACCCACACTCAATTGCACCTAAGCACATACTCGTACATATGGACGTAGGTGCTCTCAATGGTTCGCCATAAAACGAGCACAAGTGCAAGTACAGCTGCATGGCATGGTGTTGTCGGTGACGAGCTTGCATGAAAACTACGAATGCAAGGATGTGCGCTTGTGTGCGTCTACATATGATTCAGCTGCAGACAGATTACAAGTGTCGCTGCAACGAAACACTGAAGGACGCTAGGGAAATGCTGATGAAGAAAACTGCAACAG